TGAAAGCAGAAAGCACAAATCTGCCAAGAATAGATGCATTGATGGTTGGTGAATTTGTTGCACTAAACCCCGATTTCTGCTCTGCGGAGCAGAGAAACGACAAGGCATCTATGTAAGTACAGTGCATTTAGTATTACAATGTAGTAATAAACATAAAACTGATACAAAATATGAATAAGTGTAATAAAGTTGCGTAGGTTAATTTCTTTCGGCACTTTAATCCACAACTTTCCTGGAGTCTTCAAGGATGTGTTTTTATATTCTCGTACAATACAGTAATGATAATTACTTTATTTTTTGTGGTATTTATTAGAAATCATGTTTTTTTTTATTATAAATTCAGTTAAAAGTAATTTTCTACGTGTTTACGAGTTTTTGTTTACCACAGTTCACGTCATAGCATAGACAATCTATAGACTAAAATGGCCGACAGCGTTTTTGTATGTCCATGAAAAGTCTATTTCAAAATTAAAGATTTGTAGCTTTCTAGGTTTAAAAAAAATACAATACATTTTTTTTCGGTCTAATAGAACATTTATTAACCATTTAAAACCTTTTTCCAAAAAGGGTCAACTAGCCTATTGCTATTTCTTTTTTCAAATGTTTAATACTTGTAAAAGTATTCATTTGACATTGTGGGTATAATGCGAAGAGATGGCGCTGCCTTGCAACTTAGGAATGGCTGGAAGAATTTCGACGCGGTCCGTGAGGGCCGCGGTAACATAATTGGTCAGTCAATATTATTTCTTTTTTACCCCAGCATGCGCGCATATCATTGAGTAGAATATAAATTTAATAAATGATTTTTTATTTTCAATAACAATTCCGCGTGGATTTTTTTCTAGTTATATTTTCTTTAGATTTAAACATCAAGCAGTTACATGCTTTAAAAATAATAAAAATTATAACAGTAATATTTTTATCAATATTTTTCCACTTATTCCGGAAAATCTCTAAGAAATTATGCCTTGCTTGTTTATTTTTATATAATGGGTTAGACACATCCCAAAGGCATGGCAAGTCTTTACATATATCTAAAATCTCCTCCATTACTTCCCGTTCAGATCGAATAGACATAATATTGTCGTCATGTTGCTCCATCTTCTTCTCAAAAGACAAGTCAACTCACAGACCCGCTCTGAACGCCGCGCCGCGCCGCTTGCACAGTGACTACGTTAAAAAATTGGCCAGTTAGCGTCCACACCACCCAATTTGATTGGGCAATCCCGAATCGGGGGATACCGACCATCCAATGACCTTCAATTTCATATTTCCGTCCACACAACACAATTCGATTGTCAATCTAATCAAATTGGACGTAAAATTGTATCGTGTGGAAGCTGTATTAGATTTGTACGAGAATTCTCGAACGGTTGGCATCCCTGCATGCCATTTGCTTAGATTTTTTAATGTTCTCCCTTTTTAGGGAAGGCAAAGGGAACAATGCCCATACAGCTTAGTCTTCAGTTTTCTTTGTTTTAATTTTTCAACATAGAATATCGGTGTGACGCATTCTAATGTTTCTTGGTATAGAGGTTAGAGATAATAGAATAATCGCAGTAGAAAATAGTGTAGAAATATAGACCAAATAAGTGAGGCGCTGCGATCGGCTGTTTGGGCTCTTAATTTGTCTTCCTCGATATTTAAGGATTTGGAAGACATAGCAGCTGTCAAAAAATTGTCTATGGTATGGTGGTGTAGTCTGTGTAAGGCAATGACTAAAGAAGTAAGAGGACTGGAAATACCTACAAAAAAAATGTGCATACCTAACTCATGGATTTGTAACAAAAAATGGCTGCCATCGCTTAGGGCTGCCACTAACACACTATTCAATATTATTCTTAAAACATTTACCCAGAACAAAACTGACTTATGATAGCTTCAGGCTGTTTCTTGTTTTAAGATAACGATATAAATAAAAAGATTTATATAAAAATATATTTTAATAATATTGTTCTTTTATATCCAATGACACACATAGTCAATTATTATCTTTCCATATGAAACCTCCGATGTTGTTAACGAACAAGACTGTTGTATTGTGACAACTAACTAACCTAACTATACACTAAGATCTGTACTTGTACCACACAGACTCACAATAAAGATTTTTTCTTATTCTCTGACGTCAGTGTGCCTCTCCGGCGGCAGTATTTGAATTACCTGTGAGCGTGGCACCTACAAGCATAAGTCCACTAGTCATCTAAATACATTATATTTATAATTAGCTATAACCCTCGACTACGCAAGATAATTAAGATGTTGTATGTTGAAATGAGTGACTGCCCTTCCTGATTTTACGGCTATCTCACTTAATATAGATATCTAATCCAATTAAATCAGATCAACTTTATTAAGATTATATTTATTTTCTTGATAACATTAAAATATGAAACATTTACCAAAGAAACATTATTTAAAAGAACAAAATAATGGAACGATTTTTAATCAGCGACATAGTTCAACTAATACGGTTTTCCCATACCATTTTTTTACCCGTTTAGGGGTTGAATATAAACTCCCGTCTTAGTGAGCGTCTACGTCTTAAAAAGAACCCCTATGCAAAATTTCAGACTCCTAGTGATTGTAGTTTCTGAGAACGACACCATGTCGATTTTTATATTTTCAGATAGGATGGTAAGGGTAAGATGAAAATAAAATGTTATTTTTTACAATCTAGATGTTTTTATTCATTTCTAAACAGTATTAATTTGTTTAAAAATTGTCTATTTGACAGATTTGCACATTTCATTTGACCATGATATTTAAATCTTATTTCAAGAAAGATCTTAATTATGCTCTTTATCTTAAGTAACTTATGGTCGGCACAGTGGTCAGAATTAGTATCAGCAGAAAAATACTTTTTAAAATCATACATTTCACATAACAAAATAGATTTTTAACAATTTTTCTGTTTTTGATTATTTAAACCTACTTCAGCATTCACATGTTAATACCATTCACACAATGTTCTTGTATGAGGTAAGCAAGTATTATATTTCTGCCTTACATATTTGTAAGCTTTTGGGGATAAAAAATGTTAAGTTAATGCAAATTTTCTTATATCTTCTGAGTATTTATTTAGTAGAGGTAATCCCGTCGTCTTAAAAACTTGTCTTTATAAGAAGTCCCTGGGATGCTGCCAAATCTTCAATCAAAATAGCCTGTTCCATGCTTATTTGACTTTTTTGTCGAAGATCCTCAATAATATCTTTCAAATTGGCAATTTTGTTCTCTTTACGTCTAAGTTTTTCATTCAGGTATTTTATTTTCTTCTGCTACTTTAAACATTTATTATTCAGTCTTAACTTTTTTACATTTAGCGACCTGAAATTACAAATATATTCAATGTTAATAATTAAATTAACTTAACTATTTTATTTATATTAGAATCTACATTAAGCACAAGAAAATTCATTACAGAATTTTATTTTTTGTTATTATTTATCAGTAGGTTGGCAGATTCACTTCCAGTATATTAAATTATTTTGTATATTTTAATTTACTATTATGTATATGTTTCCGCCTACCACTTTTAAGAAAATAAATGAAAAATAATGTTTTACTAAATACCTCTATATTCACTTTTTATGATACACTGGTAATGGGAACAAAAAAGAAGCAGCAGATGTGCTAGCAACAGCAGTCTTAACATTGCTTGTTTTACTTAGTAGAGATGTCTCTTGTATGGCTGATCGCTGAAAAGTAAATACACAAATACAGTACACAAATTATTTTTCACATAGATCCAATTTTCCCGGTTATTTGATGAGTACAACCTCCAGGATTTAGAACGATTTTTAGGCATTAGCAAGCATTTAAGTTCTTAGTATAGTCACAACTTAAATAATAAAATTTTAGTTGTGTGTGACTAGGCTGAAATTATAATGGTCATTTATTTTCATATTTTTATAAATAACACTTACTGGAAATGGAAAAATTGTTGGCAATGAGTTTTCACGAAAACGTATTACATAAAGTGTTTTATTAAAACCGCTTTCCTTAAAATGCAGTGAGCAGAGGTACCTAATTTTTTGCCGTGGATTAATATTTCCTTTGCCGATGGCCTCTAACCATTTTTCCTTCAAAGCTTCATTCTTCGGAAATCTAAAAATAAAATAAACATTAATTACTTACATCATATTGATATGACACAACCCTATTCAGATTAGTAAACATAAGATAAATAAAATAATAGAAATAATGCCTTTATCACATAAATATGACCTTATATCAACATTTGTAACATCAATAAAGGATTATGTTATGTTTTTCTTTTCAATCTGAGTGATTTATGAGTTATTTTGCTAAGAAACGGGAGACTAACCTATGAAGCGTCAATTGAGGTTGATTTTTGTTTTTTCTTGCACTACACATCACGACACAACATTTAGGCATCTTTACAACCAGTTTTTCCGCACTACCACGTATTTTAGCACATATTTTCTCTTAATAAAGCAGTATATCTCAATATTTCCAAATTGTAAACAAACTGATGACAGAACAAATACCTCAAAACTCGTAACTTAAAATGGCGGAATTGGCACGTGCCTAAACTTTTGACAGATTTCTATGATATTTTAGCATTGAGTGGAATATGTCTGTCTCCTTCGTCAAACACAATTGTACTGTGGAAAGAAAGAGATAAAGATATATTTTACGCTTTATGTCATAAATGCCTCGTATTTATATAAGTTAAATTTTCTATATGTTGACAAGAGCTTCTCCATAGACTTTGTTACTCTGAGGTGTAAGGAGAAATAAATATTCTGAAGTGTTTTTTCACCGATTTCAATATTTTCCCAATATCCTTTCGCTTATTTGTTGTCATTAAAAATTGCTTTGGAAAATGGCCGGAATCAAAGGTAACTTAGTGTTTATTTAAAATTATTTGTTCCTATATATTGATTACTTTGCTTTGAAAGTCATTCCCAGTGAGTCATATCATGGTTACTAAATTTTGGAAAAAAGCAGTGTTTTAATGAATATCCTTTTGTTCCATGTACTCTTCATTATTTACAGGGTAAGTACTTTAGATTAATGTTTATTCGTCAGGTTGCTTGGTGAATAATATTAAAAAAGAAGACATTAAATTGGTAAAAAGAATGATATTTGGCAACAACAACGAAAGCCATCTAGTTATTGTTTGGTAACATTTTTTATAGGTCATTTATTTTTATTGAGGAATTAAAGTTTGTTAATTAGTGTTCCTACCAATGTGATTGTGATTACTGAGAATGAAGTATAAAAATCAGTCAAACTAGCAGAGCTTATTATAAGACAAACATATTCACCAACATTTAATTTGATTTCATCTTTCAGTTTGGTGTCCCTTGCATTCACTGGTTCTATTGGAATGACATTTGTTATATTGGCATGTGCTTTACCAGCATATAAGTAAGTTGGATTACAATTTTATTTTAAAAATATTTTACCATAGCAATATATATGATTTATGTAATAGGTATATGAAATAGGAACCTTATAATGTTTTTATATGCTATTTAAATGTTTAAATGATAAAAAGACATCAAGATATCAATTAATAATGATGTGGGTAAATATTTTGTAAGAAATATAATCCCAACAATGACTTTTTAAACAAAATATTGACTTTAACCTAATAAGATACAGAAAAGTTACAAAGTTTACAGGATTGATTATTTGTATAAATCAATCTATTTTCAAATGAACTCATGCAGTTTAAAAAAAGGACTGTCTTTTGTATTTTTTTTTAATCCATTAATTATTTATAACCCTACTATAAAATTAACTTATAATATTTGCATGTTGCATGAGCCAATATTTAACATACTTTCATTTATTTTACAGTGTATGGTGGCCATTCTTTGTAGTCCTCTTCTATGTATTGAGTCCGATTCCAACAATGGTTGCCAGACGTTACTCAGACAGTGCTGGTGGTACCAATAGTAGCTGCATGGAGTCTGCCATATTTGTCACCATGGGTTTTCTGATCAGCTCCTTTGCTCTACCTATAGTTCTTGCACATGCGGGCACTGTAAGTATGTCTACATGTACCTAACTCTGTCTAACTTTTTATACTCATTCCTTTAAATTTCTATATACACTATTGATAGGCACACTATTTTAAAATAAACATATCACGTGGATTGCATTTCTAGGGGTTTGACTTATTAATTCACTATCTTTTATTGCACAAGTTTCTTTATTAATTTATGAAAAATCATAAATAAGCTGTAAGGTTATTTTGACAGACCGGAATTGTCTGTTGTCTATGGTTGAACAGTGTTGCACCGAAAACTCTATTGAAAGTTATTTCAATTGACGTTAACAATTGAATAGTGAATCATTTAAATAAATGGTTAAGGGGCTAAAAATCATCTCATTTTTATCAGTAATTTCAACATAATGCAAAGTTTATTTGTTTGGTACACTTCAAATACATATTCACATTTTTATAATAAACGTAAAAATTTACTACTTTTGAACAAACTAAAGTGAATGCAGGATGTTCAACAGGATGATACTGCGAGCTTGCTAGTCAACAAACATAGATATTTAATAAATCATGCAAATCAATTGTTCAAAAAGAGTTTTATTAAGTAACAAAATATAGTTAACTATATTGCCAAATACTGTTAACAGCCAGAGCTGATTTTTGAGTAACGAGGATTAAAATTTATTAATGTGGAGTATATTTATGAGTGCGGATTGGAGGTGCTAACGACTGCAGATGCAACCGGGACCAAAGGCTTAACGTGCCCTCCGAAGCACGGAGGAACTCGAGATAGAAATTTTTGGTCACCCATCCAATGACCGACCACTGCGAAAGTTGCTTAACTACAAAGATCGCAGCCGAACGCGCTAACCACCTGCGCCATCGATCTCCTCGTAGTAGTAGATCATTAGGTGGGTGACCAAAAATCTTCTATCTCGAGTTCCTCCGTGCTTCGGAGGGCACGTTAAGCTGTTGGTCCCGGCTGCATCTGCAGTCGTTAGCACCCGCCAATCCGCACTGGGCCCGCGTGGTGGGTCATCTCCCTATTCCATCAAAAGGGAAGGCCTTTGCCCCAGCAGTGGGGACATTAGGGGGCGTCCATAAATTACGTGAGGTGTTTTTTTGAATTTTCTGTCCCTCCCTCCCCCCTGGTGAGATGTCGTGAGATTTTATTCAACCCCCTCCCCCATCCCCCAATCTCACGTGAGATTTTTCAAAATGTGGGTTTTTGTAAAAAGAAAAAAAAATTGCTTCGTGCTTTTATTTACGACTACTTTCCTTTCAAACCCAATAAGTGAATGATTTAATCGTATTACGACTACTTTCCTTTCGAACCAATAAGTGAATGATTTAATCGTATTACGATAACGCTTACGATTAAATATTAAGCGTGTACAATCTAGATTAAATGGACCAAAATAGTATAATTCTGTTTTGTTCCATTAAAAACATTGCGTGATATTTGCCGAGACCCCCCCTCTCTCCAACGTAAGATTAGATGAGATTTGATTTACGTAATTTATGGATGCCCCCATAAGAGGCTGATGATGATGATATTTATGAGTAATGACGATTAAAAATTATTAATGGTTATAACAAATGAGGAGCTCGATGGCGCAAGTAGTTAGCGCGTTCGGCTGCGATCGTTGAACTTAAGCAACTTTCGCAGTGGTTGGTCATTGGATGGGAGACCAAAAATTACTATCTCGAGCTCCTCCGTGCTTCGGAAGGTACGTTAAGTCGTTGGTTCCGGCTGCATCTGCAGTCGTTAGCACCCACCAATTCGCACTGGGCCCGCGTGGTGGGTCATGGCCCAATCTCCCTATTCCATCCATAGGGAAGGCCTGTGCCCCAGCAGTGGGGACATTAATAGGCTGATGATGATGATGATGACGAATGTTACAAATTAATCTTTATAGATTTATTAATCTTTATAGATTTTTAACAATTTCTAAGAATATGATCATTCAGTTGTGCAACTGATTTTGATAAGGCTGTATGAATCCCCAAAACTAAACTGTCTATGGTTAGACTTACCTACCTGTTTGTTTACTTTTGGTCTGTAACAGACTATACGAAATAAACTTACCACCACATGTAACAAACAGTGTTATATTCAGTTTTTATAGGTCTACCTTATTTGATGAGACATTGTCCAATAATGGTAATCGGTTCCAGAATGTAATTTGTATTTCAATGCACTGCATACTAAGCATAATAATGAATTTATAGTTACCTACCATTTCCAAAAAATGTAGCAAGCATTCATTACACTGTTATTTAATTAATTTCCTGTTGTTGATTTTTAATTAATTTCCTCCTTACAGATTGCATTAGGAGCATGCTTTTTGACACTAGCTGGCAACGTCATAGTATATCTGACCATCCTTGGATTCTTCACAATTTTTGATTCTGATGACTCGGATTATGCAATGTGGTGAGAAATCTAGAATGTCATGTCATCAATGTAATGGAACGATCTAAAGACAGTAAGATTTATATTGTAAGAAATGTTGTGGTTTTGTCTATTGTATAATTTAAGTCTGAAAGTTTGATACTGATAGATAGTTTAATCTTACAATTTTGTAAATTGACTCAAAATGTTTGTTACTATTCTTTCAAATAAATGTTTACATTAACATGGAGAGACAATACCAAATATGGCAATGCTATATGGCTGCTCTGGCAGCATTGTTTTTTAGTACCTGGTCAGCGCCAACATCGTCATACTTATTTGAACACTAGATTTCTTTAATAATATAAAATTGATTGGTTAATCTAATTTGTATATTTAAGAAAGAAAATTCCTAGTTTGGGTAATTAATAATTGGGAATACTTACATAAATTTATTAAAAGCTGTCTTTTTAATTAACCTGCGAAATTTGCTTTGACTGAAGTCCCACATTCAATATATATATATATATGAAAAGAGTGAGTAGTTCAGTTTAATGTACACTTACTTATGATAGTAATTTGTATGCTATCAAAATCTTATCCTCCAGACTACAATATTTTTGAAATAACAGTATTATTTTATTTAAATTCCTCATGAGTATTTATTTCTTTACTAATCTTAACCTAATGATTATTAGGAATAACTAAATTCTAATTTCATTATTTCATATAATAGGTTTTACTACTGTAGCCTTAGGCTAAAAACTCACGGAACGACATTCACCCGCGCTCGCAACTTGCGTAAAATGTGTACTTGTACGTAAAACGCAATGGCAAATTTCACGGCGCGATTTACACCCGCTGAGTGCGCGGTTGTTTGCAACACTCGAGGCGGGCTTCGTCCGATCTTCTTTTTTTAGTTTACGAGGGTTCTCGCAACCGCAGCAGCTGCGGCATTACAGAAAACTGTGGTCTCGTAAGTCTTTAAATAAGCTTTGCAGCCGCCCGCGGCGGGTGCGGGCAAAACCGCTCCGTGAGTTCTTAGCCTTACAATTAATTACAAATGTTATATAAGCAGTCGGGCCATCGACATTCTACATCTTTATCATCATCTTTAAAGTTGTATGCTTTATTGTGGATAATAAGCAATGATTATTTTTTTAACTTCAAGTTATGTGACTATTATGTAGACAGAATCTTAACTTGCTTACCACATTATATTTTAAGGTTAGTTTAACAGGACAATGGGCAAAAAACAACCAGCTCCGCCAACAATATAATTAGTATGATTCGAAAGATCTATGAAAAAATATTGTTTTTAGGGTTCCGTAGCCAAATGGCAAAAAACGGAATCCTTATAGATTCGTCATGTCCATCCGTCTGTACGTCATTATGTCACAGCCATTTTTTTCCGAAACTATGAGAACTATACTGTTGGAACTTAGTAAGTAGATGTATTCTGTGAACCGCATTAAGATTTTCACACAAAAATAGAAAAAAAAACAATAAATTTTGGGGGTTTCCCATACTTAGAACTGAAACTCAAAAAAAAATTTCGTCAAATCCATACGTCTGGGGTATCTGTGGATAGGTCTTCAATAATAAGTTTTTTTCTAAACTGAATAGTTTACGCGAGAGACACTTCCAAAGTAGTAAAATGTGTGTCCCTGTAACTTCTAAAATAAGAGAATGATGTTCCAAATCGTACTATACAACCGTACAAAGATATACGATAAAGATTGCCAATCATCCTGCGACTTACTTCGTTGTGATTGTGCGCTCTCTGTCACTTTTTTGACTGACACACTTTGAACATCGGTTTTGTAAATTAGTATGGATGAACTGGAATTATGTTTTCTCCGAGGCGAGAACAAGTTTGTGTGATATGTGGTCGCTCCGCTTTACCTAGAAGACAATTAACTATAACGAACGGACTGATTGAAAAAAATCCCAACTTAACCGGCGATATTTATGCACCTTGTGAAATACTCTAACCAACTAAATTAATTTCCTTGTTTTATTAATGTTCGTTCATTATAGTTCTTGTACCTATTTAAACTTAAAATAAATATAAACCCCCGGGATGTAATTTGATACGCCTTCGCACAGATGGTCATGACCTTTCAAACAAATGTAATTTAAGCCGTGGCGGACGTGGGTGCCGCATCCATACATTTTTGCCCAATGTCCTTTAAAATATATCAGGTCTGTACATAACTTTTACTAAAGGTCTTGTTTACAAAATGATTTATCTCATTGGAGAACTGAACCAGCATTGATTATATTATTTGTATTATTATCTTGGAGTTGTTATCGTTGCATTGATATGTTTATGCTACTGTAGAATACGAGAATTGAAGGCAGATATGATTAATGATTTCTTTAAAGTAATAACTAAGTATTATGTATAAATTCAGCCGGATTATATGCTTTTGCACCCGTTCGCTTTTCCCATGGAAGTAAATTTTTGAAGTAATATCTTCTTTAGGCGAAATAGGGTAATTTTTGGGATTGAAAAAAGAGAATAAAAAAGCATTGAACTCGCAAAACCGTGACCAACACCTCTGTATATAAGTATGTGCATTTTAATTTTGCCAAACGTTGGTGGTAGTGGCTTGGTCTAATCAAATGCACCAAACGCTCCTTCGAGTGCAAGAAGTCTTCAGTTAAAATCCGACCAAAATTATAGTAAAAACAAAAAGGTTTGTTTACATTTTGCTTAGTTTTTGTTTGTTTTCACTTCGGTCGGCAGTCCCGGAGTGCCACCGCCATTTTTTTATAAAAACCTAGTGTCCACCATCTGTAGCCGTAGTGGTGCCCTAAAAATTATAATATAAATAAATACAGTCAAGGGGTTGTTTTTACAAAATCTTACTCATACAGCTCATACTCCCAGCAAAGTGAAATTAAACATTGATAATTATATTACTGCAGCTAGGATTCCTCTGCAAGTAAGACTTAAGGTAATTTTATAAGATAACAGTAAAACTCTTTGTGTATTTTAATATAATATTAGTAAAAAAATCATTTTCTATATTTAACATTGTTTTTTAACTACATATTTCATCATGTCAAAAATCGATATCTTAAATCTCGTATGTATTACATCAATATCCCCTGGTTCTTTATTTAATATATATTATATCAGAATGTAGTCTGTCTAATAATTATTAGATTAATAAAAATTAAATTTAGTAAATTATAGAAATATTTTTATATTTTCGGATTAGGACTGTGCTAACCTATATAGTAATAATCGATAGGTATATACATAATTATGTTAATTTTTATTTAAACGAGTTTAAATCATCCTAAATTTTACATTATGTTAACAATAAATAATTTAGTTATTCTTTGCTTGACTGCAACACTGTAAATATCAGTAGTTTCCTACATTGTTAATACATGTTATTTTTTAATTTCCATTTTTTTATATAGGTATGTAGGCACATTAATGTACCGGATATAAGCAGAAATGTAACTAATTATTATGATTTGGCTATAGATTCTATTCCTTGAGCGTTGTTTTAGACTAACTTACGTTTTCATGTTAAAATATGTACTTTATTTTTTTCTGAGCGTTTTTATAGCAAATAGGTTTTGGCTCAGAAGAGTTTGTAAGAGCTTCCTAAAAAAAGAATTATCATGTAAGAGCTATTCAAAAACAAGTCAGCTAATGTTGTATTTAAAAGAAATTAATTGGTTTGTTTTTTTGAAAGTTTTTCTGTAAGAATCTTTTTTTTTCTGCATGTTAGTTTAACTTTAATCGGCAAGGATTAAATAAGGGTTGAGGATCAGCTACCTTTTTGGGCTAAACTTTAAAGCTGTTAAATTCCCTAAAATATTACAAACGATTAAAATTAACGCATTGTGCATTGAGTCAGAACTCTATTTTTTTCTTTTAAAACAAATCAAACAAATCGAAAGTTTTCCACTTGGCTGGTGGAATGGTCTAAAACAGCGAGAGTTCATGAAACATTTATTGAACATAAAATTAAATGTCTAGAACAAGCATATTTAATTTGTAGCGACACAGAACGTCACGAATTTTAATGAAGGTTGTGGCAATAAAACATATAAAATGAAATTCTAGTTTGTCAGATTAGTATTATCAGAATGCATTAGAAATGAGTTTGTTTAATTAAACCCCCTGTGCACCACGGAAGGCACCCACGTCACGTAGGCACTCTTAAACAAATAATTATGTAATTAACTTTTTATGGTATTTGATTGTCCTTATTGCAATGAAAATAAGACACATGCTAATGTCAATATTATTAAACATGACCATGTTGGCGATCTTGTACCATCCTAATTTCTACAATGGGCTAATAACTTTGTTATCATCACGATAAGAGATTTGGGATTTACGCTTTGATTCGCAAATTTTCATTAGTGTGCCTTTATAAAACGGATAGGTATATTTTTATGGACCAATAACATCCACGACGTTATACAGTAGACTGTTTTAAAAAAATAATTGTCATCATGGTTTCACTGCAACTTGTAAACGTTTGGAATGTGTTCAGCTCATTAAGGCGTTCACAGTGAATATGTGTATTAGGACGGCTACGAAGTTACACACTGCTGCGATAATAACGATGCAATAAAAGTATGACGTAATATCGCAATAATATATCAGATATTTATCCACCGATTATAAAGTGTCTATGGGCGGGAGGTTTAATTTGTAAACCTATGTTACTTTCGTTCTGTACCTACAAACAAAACCTGATTGTTTTTTTTAGATATAGCTACATTCCTGTATAATTTGTAAATAATTAACTATATATAACAAAAACAGGTCACAATAAATATTATTACCTGCTTGATATTTCATTTCATTATTTACTTATCTTGACACTCCTATCTAAATAGCTTTTTTATCAAAGATTTTCTTGAGATCATAAGAAAATATGTAGTAGTCTTCATTGACATATAAAACAACATGACATTAAATAAGGTAGTACAAAAGCAAAAAAAGCTTTCGGACACGTTATTCAGAATAAATAGTTAATAGGATGTTTTTTTTTTCTGACAAAAAACGAATTCCTCTTTGTACAGAAAAACTTGGTAAATTTATACAATATTTAATTGTTACTTACAGCAGTAAAAAAAATATAAGATAACGATAATATATTTGCATATTTTTAATTTTAAGCTTTGCCGGATTAATAAATCTTAAGAAATTTTTTACCAGACAAAAATCAAGTCTGATGTAAAAGTGTATCATTTAACATTTGGCTTACCTACAATGCGTAGAAATGACGCACAGATCTGCAGCAAGCGTAGAAATACTAGAAAAAATTCGACATGATTCGTCGTGAGGTTTCGTTAGCATAGAGCGGTAAGTTCAGCCCCCCGGCCAGTGAAAGACGGCTCGAGTCCTGCATGAAATTTTAACCGAGTTGTGTTTTATTCCAGTAGAAATTTTCTTTAGATATAATTAGTATAATGGGCTAATTTACCGCATATTTTCCTGTGTACCTTTTGTGTGTGGCTGTAACTTTAAAGACACAGTGGAAAATAATCAAGATTTCTAACCCACATCAATGATATGGATACAAAATTACTTTTTTTCTATATGTGTAACTAGTTATTTGGTTTTATTAAAGGAGATTGCTCAAATAGGCCCAAATGCACAAGAAATATTGACACATACGGTAATTCTTGACATAATTTATACTTTATTTTACAGTCATTAGATTTCAACGGACACCTTTGTATAATATATCCATTTTAAAAAGGACTTTTAATTTTACCGGTTTGGAAAACATACAAATCATTTTTAATGGCTATGGGTGTAGTACCATTTAGCTAAAGACTGATCGAAGTTGTTTATATAACATAAAATCAAATCTATTTTGTAAAGATCGATAAAATAAAACATTTTTTTTATTACTATGTGGTATTAATATCCACAACTATATTATCATTTTCACTACATGGAAATGTGCTAAGACAATTATTATAGATGGTAGGCGACATCATAAAGTCTATTGCCATACATTTTTCGCGAAACCCCTCCATAAACACATTACAAGGCGTGATACACTAAAAAACTAAAATATGTAGGGACACGAAAAAAGTATCGATACTTTTGGTATCGAGTACTTTTCCTTTCGATACCTATACTTTTGTACTCGATACTTTGTATTCGATACTTTTACTAAATGAGTACTTTTTGCCAAGTATCGATACCTTTAAAAATTTGGATAAGCGCCTCATATTGATGGCAACGCCATCTTGTTAAATCATACCAAACCTTCTAAAACGTTCCATAGGGTATTTGACAAGTTTTAGGCAACGATCTCACGTTATTGACTAAAGTCTATGGAGTCCGTAATGGAAATGGATATTCATCATTCTGTCATGTATTTCAGTAAAAATAACCAAATCAAAAACTCCATTTTCAAGTTGCCGCGAAAACCTTTCTCTGGACAATATGGCGTCTTACTAGTGTGTAACGTCACACGACTGTTATTAAAACGTCAAACGATACAATGTAATGTCACCTTGACCGGAAGTTTACTTGCGTGTGACGTCATTTTAGGCTCCGCCAATCTCAAGCGTTTTGGGTTACGTGACAATAGATAAGAAAACTAATATCTTTTTCGTTATTTTGGCACTTTATTTTTAATACTGTTAAATACCCTATTACGTTGTTATAAAGTCAGTAACTGACATATTCAAATTCTTTCCAATCTGTGACTGTGTTTATTTTGCGCTTTGTTTTGTTTCATAGTTATTTATTTAGCGACCATATTGTTAGGAACTGTGATTGATTCGCCGTTTATTGTGATTTTAACACCTGGGGGGGGGGGGTTGCTCATCATGAGCATGTACAAGCTATCGAGTACATGAAATGTACTCGATACTTTGATGTATCGATACTACAATTTCGTAAAAAAGTGCATTTATTTGGTTTTCGCAGTAAGCAGACGAAATAATGGTGTCGATTCTGGCATGATTCTCTAAACCTAAACGTATATTTGACAACAGTGGTGTCGATTCCGGTATGATTCTCTAAACCTAAACTTAAATTTGACAACAGTTTATCCTTGTCATTCTCTATACAGAGTAAAAAGGACAGACTGATGTTAAGTTTAGAGAATCACGACAGAATCGATACCAGTGTTTCCTTGTCATTTTCTATACAGAATAAAAAGGAAATACTGATATTAAATTTAGTTTGAAAAGAGAATCATGCCGGAATCGACACCTTTGTTTATTAAGTTAATGTAGATCGTGAATAATTGTTTTTTTTTTTTAAATCGTTTGGTTTATATTTGTTTTATCAACTTTGTATTTGTATCGGCAGATGCACTAAATTAAATCTAAATAAAAATACCATTCATTAATCTCATTCATTTTTCCCGCGCGAAATACTTTTATATAACGCACATGGTCAGAGTGGCCAAGTACTTTGGCGAAAGGGGATTGCTCACCTATGCCATCTCAGGTTTTAGTCAATAAAAAAACCGCCTTTAATTTAGTCTGACCAAACAGCAATTGGACGGATGTGTCCAAAGCAAAAAAAACCTTAGGTATTTGAAAAGCATTTGAATGCAAAAATGATTTCATACTTTTATTTTTAATTTTAAATACTTCTTTAAACATGATTATAAATCTTATCCTACTACTATTATTAATGTGAAAGTTTGTGTGTTCGTTGCTCAATCAAAAACTACTGAACGGTATGGAAGGTACGCATATCATATAGTTTATGACCTGGATTGAAGCATAGGATACTTTTTATCTCAAAAAGAAATGTTAGGTTCCTGATTCTCAAAAAACTAAAGTTAATGCAGACGAAGTCGCAGGCGGCCTCTGGTATAGATATAAATACCTTCTTGGAAAGTGCTTTATGGCCTATGCTCAATGTTATGGCCGAAACAGAAACTTGACTCAATCTTGATTTGACTTTAATATATGACATTCGTTGTAGTAGCGTAGCACGGAACGTAAATTAATCATCTTCCGCTTTTTGACATCACTAAACGTCAAACTGAGAAAAGTGGCTATACCGCACCCAGAAATTATCAATAACTTTATTTTATTTTCGTTTAATATTGTATTAAATACCGAATACAGTGAATATAAGAATGGGCGATCATCTCCCCGCTTGTGTTATTGATGTTGGGACCGGCTACACGAAGCTGGGATTCGCCGGCAATAAGGAACCACAGTTTATCATTCCTTCAGCCATAGCGATAAAAGAAACAGCAAAAGTCGGGGATCAAAGCACACGGCGGATGACTAAAGCTGTAGAAGACTTGGATTTCTTTATTGGGGACGAAGCGTTTGATGCGACTGGATATTCTGTGAAGTATCCTGTGCGCCATGGTCTCGTCGAAGATTGGGACCTAATGGAAAGGTATATAGAGCAATGCGTATTCAAATATCTTCGAGCAGAGCCCGAGGATCACCACTTTTTACTTACCGAACCTCCATTGAACACTCCCGAGAATAGGGAATACTTAGCAGAGATAATGTTTGAATCTTTTAATGTACCGGGCTTGTATATCGCTGTTCAAGCCGTGCTTGCACTTGCTGCGTCTTGGAAGTCGCGTACATCGGTCAAACGCACCTTTACAGGCATCGTTGTGGATAGTGGCGATGGTGTAACCCATATTGTTCCAGTAGCAGAAGGTTATGTCATTGGGTCTTGCATAAAGCATATACCTATTGCAGGTAGAAATATAACCTCTTTTATTCAATCCCTTCTCCGTGAACGTGAAGTTGGAATCCCACCTGAACAAAGCTTAGAAACTGCAAAAGCGATCAAGGAGAGATATAGTTACATTTGCCCAGACATTGCAAAAGAATTTGCAAAATATGATACAGATCCAGCGAAGTGGATGAAAAAATACACAGGTGTCAATGCTATTACTAAGAATCCTTTTTCTGTGGATGTTGGATATGAGCGTTTCTTAGGCCCTGAAATATTCTTCCATCCAGAGTTCTCTAATGCTGATTTCACTGTGCCTCTCAATGAAATGGTTGATGAAGTGATTCAATCATGTCCTATTGATGTAAGAAGGGGATTGTATGGCAACATTGTATTATCTGGTGGTTCAACAATGTTCCGAGATTTTGGAAGGAGGTTACAACGTGACATCAAAAGAACTGTTGATGCGAGACTGAAGTTGTCTACAATGTTGTCTGATGGACGTATCACACCAACTCCGATTGATGTACAGGTGGTCTCCCACAATATGCAACGTTATGCTGTATGGTTTGGTGGTAGTATGTTAGCATCTACTCCAGAATTTTATCAAGTCTGCCACACTAAACAAGCATATATGGAGTATGGACCCAGCATCTGTCGGCACAACCCTGTATTTGGTACCATGACATAATAAAAAATATTTTTTAGCCAGTATTAAGTCAATTAAACAATGAAATTGATTTTATGTTAATGTACTAAGAGCTCTTCTAATTTGGAATGATTTATCATTTTTTAAGACATTTATTTTCTAAGAATCTATAAATTATAATTATTAGCCTATTAAGCTATTGTGAACAAAATATTACCAAAAGGTATTTTATTGTATAGCAGAAATTAAATTGCACATATACATTGTGGCAAACTTAATGTCAAATCATGAAGCAATACAGAACTTAAAAACGACCCAATTTTATAAAAAAGTATAAAGTTTGTTTTGTGCAAGTACAGTCAATATATAATATTTCATAATAATATGTATATATGTTATTACATTAACAGGTATTATTGTATTCCCAACAAGCTCTTGACTACTCATACATTAGAACCCAAGCATTAAGATGTTAATTTGTATGTTATTATAACAATATGCATTGTAATTGTATTTCAGTGTTATGAAATGGTGGTAAACTTGTTGCAGCCATTATCAGACAAGTTCATATTATATAAATATAGATAGAATGTTTTTCAAAAATGTACTAATGGTTAATTGGGGACTGTCGGTAGCATAGATTGTGTTATTGTAATTTTATACATATTTGCAGAAGAAATTATTATTGTTAGCACTAAGCTGAGATTATTTCAATAACTTCATTAATTGGGTTAGCTGGAGTCGCTACATTGAATATAATAATTATAGGCATTTATTATTGCATTCCAGCTCCTTACCAAAAATAAAGTCTTATTATTATTAAAATGCTTTGGTTTTTAGTTTACCTTTATAGATATCATCATCATCACAAGTCTATTATTGTCCCCTCCTTAAGGCGCTTAGCAGACGACGGGGCGGGGCGGGCTTTTTGTCCGCGAAGCAATAAAGACCGCGTCTGCCCGTCGATGTCTGCGGCTGCCCGCGCCGCGTACACAAAGCACACGACGGGCAGAGGCGGTCAGTTCAGGACGTTCGTTCTAGGCCTTGAATAGTCCATCACTAAAAAGCGCGTGGCGCGGACTGAGCTGATCGCCCCGCGCTGCCGTCTGCGTTACTGCATATAAACTGGTTTGTATGATCCACGGCGGGCAGCCGCGGACATGCCGCGCCGCCACTGCCCGCCGGGCACCTGCGGCGCGGTCTTTTTGCCCTCTGTGTGCGTTTGCAGTATAGGATTCACTTTGTGCTATTATTCGCGGCGAAATTGACCGGCCCGCCCCACTCCGTCGTCTGCATAGCGCCTAAATGTATGGTTAGGGGTTTTTCACTTGGGGTGTTCTTATATGCTATTGGTGTCCGGGTGACCGGTACATGAGTCCGGAAGCCCGTCACAAGCTTGATGGACGATGGGATGATAGAAGAGGACAGATTTAAAGTAGGGGGTGCCCCTATTGCCAAAGATTATAGGCAAGATGGGAGGAGTTGATCAGGGTTAGGTTAGGTAGGTAGTTAGGTACCGCCGAGTAGGCCTACGTGAGCCAGCGCCCTGCGCATGCTTGTGGCCCGCTCAATTATGATGAGGCGATGTTCCCAGGGAGTTTAGTGGAGTATTACCGGCTATCTCTTTAGCCGGAGATGAGTCCCACACACCCCCGCTCACTTGCCCAGTGGGCGGGGGGTTTTTCAAAACGTAAGTTACAATCCATAATCAGGCCTAAATTGTATGCTTCATAGACCCTTTCGATTGGTTCTCCATTACGTATTATATTTTTTAATGAGTTAATTTTATGCAACTGTTTTTAGAGTACCAAATATCATGTATTTTGTTTTAGATGAATTTATCAGCAGAATATTATTTGAAGACCAAGTTGAAATATTAGCTAGATCATAATTTATTTTCTCTATTGCTTGATCAATATCGACAGGTTTAAATGAAATGTATATCTGAGTGTCATCAGCATACATGTGATATTTGCAATGAGACAAAACATATTGGTTTTGTCCCAAAACTAAATCCTGCGGAACACCCTTATCTATGGCCATGTTGTCCGACAACACTGTTGAAATATCATTTCCACTAACTTTAACACACTGGTATCGTTTAGTTAGGTAGCTATTAAACCACTGTATTGCTTGCCAATCAAAACCGTACTTTGCTAATTTAGACAAAAGAGGATATATATTTTTAAAGATTAAAAGGCCCTGGAATAATCTAGTAAAACAAGTAATGTGCACATGCCCTAGTCCTGAGGATGAAGTACCTATATTATCAGTTACATCTAGTGATACAGCCCTTCCTAAATCCCGACTGGATTCCTGGTAAAATATCATTCTCTTCAAGATAATCCATCAGTTATATGCTTGTATGCTCACAGCCTTCTCTAGTATTTTTGACATACATGGTAATATACTGATTGGTCTTAAGTCCTTCATGTCTACTGGATTCTGGATCTTGGGAAGTGGTATTACCAATGCCTGCTTCCACATATCGGGAAATATGTGAGTTGTAATTGACTTATTTATTATATCGCTGATACACTCCAGTGTGTGCCGAAATGTCATGACAAGCATGCCTAGACTGATACCATCGCTTCCTACTGCATTTGACTTTAGGGTACGAACTATTTTTATAATTTGATCTAAACTAAGTGTCTGCAAATGAAATTTTGAATCTTTAAATCTATTAAACTCAAAATATGTTAAAATTGAAATACTCACATCAGATGTGCCAGGAACTCTCATAAAATGATTATTTATAGCATTACGATTGGTAAGATATGATAGTAGTTCAGCTCTCCGCTGCGGCAAATACTTATTAAAAAAAAAATCCACAGTGATTTTTGATCTTGATTTCTACTATTAATTTTATATTTAAAGTAAGCTGTCTTATCACAGAAAAGTGCTTGATTTACTGTACTTTTCAGAGATTTATAATAGTCCAAATTGGCGTTTAGTTGCCCTCTTTGATAATCAACCAAAGCCCTATCCCGTAACTTCATCATGTGTTTGATTGTGTCAGTTATACAAGGTGGTGTACGCTCCCGCACAACTATACACTTCTCCTGAGCATAGTGATCGAAAATACTTGTAATATATTGATTTAACACACTACACTAACCACATTATTAACACTTAGCAGTGTACTTATATAATCCCACCCCATACTTATCAAATTATTGTTAAAGAACTCTACAGATATGTTATTTAGTGGCCTATATTTAACTATTTTTTTTATTATAACACTTATTTATTTCTTACATTTTAAGTTGATGAATATAACATCAAGTAAATAAAATTATTGAAAGTGCATGCAATAAGCTTTATATTAAGTAAATGAAAAATATGAAATATGTGTGTAAAAAAAACCGGCCAAGTGCGAGTCGGACTCGCGCACCGGGGGTTCCGTACAAACCCAATTTAATACCTCTACGCGTTCATGAGAAAAGAGGTAGTAACTTTAAAATTTTCAAAAATATTTTTTATTATATGACGTAACTAAAAATTTGCGGTTTTCGCAATTTTTCCTTTATCTGTACTATAAGACGTTATTTCGTACCAAATTTCAAGATTATAAGTTCACTGGAAGTAGGTACTCTGTAGGTTTTGATTCCCGTGCGAGTTTGGCATAAACGGCTGTATCTTTTGATTGCTTTGGCTTAGAAGTTTGATTTTTTCACAGCTCCAAGGGACAGTAGACATGAGTATTAGATATGAATTTCAGTTTGATACCTCCACGCGTTCCTGAGAAAAATGGTCTTGACAGACGGACGGACGGGCAGACAACAAAGTGATCCTATAAGGGCTCCGTTTTTCCTTTTGAGGTACGTAACTCTAAAAAGAAACAGAAGGTACATTTGATTACAACAGAATTAATCTTCTGTTTTTATTTTTAAATATATCCACTACTTCATTCACATCAATTTCTATCCCATAGTAAATAGTCATGAGAGCCAAGCAGTTCAGTCTGTTTTCACTCGTTGTGTTCCGCAAGTAGTTTTTAAGCCTCCGTAGGCTTGAAAACGTCCTTTATGGTGTAGCAGTGGAAACAGGTATGGTAGGCAATATTTGTAACAACGTGTAAATATTTGGATGTAAATTATGATCGCACTTATCTAAGCATTCCAAAGCAGATTTTGAAGTAGGGGAGGTGATAGTCACAGCTGCTTTTCACACTTTAAGTTCTGCTTTGACAACAGGCGTACTTCTTTTGGGTAGCACTGCCGAGAGTGGGAGCGCGAGTGGGATAGCGTGGGATACATACATAAACGTGTTTTTATTCACCTTAACTATGACGAAAATTATCCGTAATAATGTACATATAATTATATTAGTATAAATTAAACACTTACAAACTATTTTGTTCAACAGATTCGCCCCCAAATAGATGGGTTATGTCATGGTCCTCCGAAAGATAATATGCACCAGAGGAGGGCCCTCTTGTCGAGCGAAGATACGCCCTCCCTTAGTCCACGAGTAGCGCTAGTGGCGCTTACGGCATTCTTCGCGGAGCCAATGGAAAAGACGGCGGTTGGGGCCCGTCAGACGCTCGTTAATATAAATGCGCTGCGAAGTGTCCTCCTTAGTATCATCCCCCGTGGTGACGGACGGTCCGGCGCATGCGGGCGGCACGTAGCAGCTCCTCACGCAGACTGCGGCGCGCCAGCCGCACAATGAGGCGACGCGGACGCGCCGGAACTCCTTCGGCACCAGGATCACTTGACACGACCGCCCCCATTCGCTCAGTAATAACGATGTCCTTAGACTCCAACGTTACACCCAACTTTGCCGCTAGGGCGGTGACAGAATGAATGGGACTAACGACCTTCTTTTCAGGAAGGTGGCCGATGTCTAAATCAGACAAAAGAAATACCTGCCTCCGAAGTTCCTCAACTCTCTCCACTTCAGACGGTGCCTCCGTCTGTCTCCTTTCCACCACCACCAGCCTATGTTTCACCGCACCCACCCGGGTGTCCATATTCTGTAGAGACGCCCGAAACTCCTTGAGAAAATCACGAAATTCGGCCATGCTTGCCGTGAATTCTCGCCGCATTGCACTGATCTTAGTCTCTTCCCCAGCCGGAGCAGAGGCTGTGAGTACTTCATCAGTGGTGCCACA